AGATATTTTTGAGAGTCATTTGGATCCTGACTTACATAATTACTATTAAAGATGCAAAAACTGCAGCCAGGTTTGAGTTTCAGATGTAAGAAATCATTCTACATGTGCTAAATGTTTATGTTTACATGTTAACACATCCTTCACCCATTCATTTGTGTATGAATTTTTAATCTGCATTTTGATGAAGGCCAACATGCAAAAAAATACACACATTGTCTGCTGATCTGCACATAACACTAAGTTTTCTAAAAGGAATTTAACAGGCAACATATTCAAGTAGTGTATTATGCATATTGTTGTTTAGTCTTAGCAGAATTGTTTCATTGTGATTGCATTAGAGTCAAACGTTTTTGCATTATTTGTTTCTTGGGGGGACATACTAAGTGAGTTAAAGCTGTTTTAGAGATTCAAAGATAAGCTTATGAGCATAAAGCAAACTTGCAATGCTTTAAAGAGGTCCAGATATATACTATGACTTTACGAATTTCTTTGTCAGTTGCTTACTCTGTTTGCATACAAGACTTCCTGGATACATTTTGCTGTGCTGTTGGATTATCATATTTAATTTCTGTGTTTTAAACTTAATGCTTGGTCTATTTCTTTGTATCTTAAGCTTTTGAGTGCTTTTAAATGTGCTCATAAATGCACTAACCAAGGATGGAGAGGGCAAAGCAACTCCTAGCGGGAGTGTGAAAAGAAAAAGGAAGTCCGAGATAAAGTATGGAAAAAAATGCAAAAACATATTCAATGCCATGAGTGACGAAACTCAAGTAGTGCTTGTAATGCAATATGAAGTTAAGGTTACCCATGTTAACCTAAAGCCTCTGCAGCTGATAGATTGATTGATGTGTGAGTAAGTACTGCCAGTGGATGTGATGATGAAGAACAATATTTACTGTAACTCATATACCTGGTGCAAATATTTTTGGGGTCTCAAAAGGGACTAGGTAAATGCCATAGGAATGAATGCTTGGCATATATTGTTTATTTTAACACAAATATGTGTTTTCTGTTGATTTTGTATAGGGATAGAACATGACTAGGCCCCTTTAATCAACATATGCAGCAGCTTATTTACATTGCAATGCTGTTGCAGCTATAGTCTTTCAGTTTCTCTAGGTAATGTAATGAGCAACTGGGTCCCCATAATAAAGTGAAAGAAAGCCAGAGAGTAAGATGGCTGGCGATCCATTTAATCAAAGACGATCAATGGAGGCCAGTCCCATCAGTTAGAGTTAACCCATGAAGCCCGGAGAGGATGGGAGAGGCAGCAAATTGGAGGAAAAACCAAAGATAAAAAAAGGGATGAGAGGAGCATGGAGACATTAAAGGGTAAAAAGAGAGATGGAAGAGGAAGGAGGAGGAGGAGAGTTCATGAGGTTGATTTATAGCTGTGATACACTTGGGAGCTTTTAAGTGCTGTCCATATTTTCCATCTGATAAGAAGATTGAAATTATTCAGCCGAGCCCATATCTCACTGTTGGTGGGTTTGTGAGTGTCTACTGAACTTCACACTGCACTGTGATCATGTCTGTGCATATTTTAAAATCCTTTTTTTTTCTCTACACCAGTAGATGTATAAACAGACTGTGTAAAACCTCCTGTGTTTTTTGAATGAAGTTTAAAATAATGGTTAAGATAAAGTAGTATCCTATAAAGTTGGACTGCAATGATAGCTATGTTACACACAAAAAAAAGTAAAGATTAATTTGAAAACGACTTATTCTTACCAGTGTACCTGCTTACTAAGTAAAAAACTGCACTACAGATGCTTATAAATTTACCTAATGTTTGATTATTACTTGAGGATAAAGAGAAACACTCTTTATTACAGATGTCTACTATTCACGGGATAATAGGCACTTATTCTGGTACCAAAATTTCTATATTTTATCTATGGATGAAAGAAGTAGATAAGGCTATCTTAACACTTTATCTTGTAGTTTACTTTCCACAAACATGATTAATTTTATTGGGTCAGGGTTAATAGGAAAGTTTCATGCTGTCATTCAGTTTTATTTTGATAAAAACAAAAATGTTGTCGGCTTATTAGAAAGGTTCGTAGTATCTCTCATTCAGGAAACTCCTTACGGAAATGTACATGTTGATGTAGTTTATACTTTAGCTCAAAACAATGTGAAAAGAGGATCATCTCTCTGATCCATGTAGGTGTTAACAACTTCTTTCACATCCCAAACATATTGTCAGCCAAAGAACAAAAGCCCCCTGCAATGCAGCAGAAACGGTAATTAGTATTTCAAACAGGGGTTTCTATGTGTGTGTGAGTGGGTTGTGGAATGGGGAGAGGAGCTGGGGGGTGAGTGAAGAGATGGAAAGAAATGAAAAGAAAATGCTCAGTGGCAGGTTGAAGGAGAGAGATGGATACAGAGAAAATGCCCCCTCTTCCACAGTGTCACAATAGACTGCAGCTAATAAATCTGTGGAAAACGACACCTTAATTCCCTCTTAATGCTTGATTAGGAGGCAGTGAGCTGAGTGCACACTCAACCCTGCACTCCAACTCACACAAACATGCCGTCACACAAAGCAAATGGCCACAGAGGAGCAGCCCTGAGATGGGATACCAGGGATGCAGAGGAGCAACAGCAGGGGAGGTAAACAGTTTTGAAAGAATTTATGTCACTGGAGCAGTAAGAGGAATAAGAGGAAAGAGGGGTTTAGGGCAAATTTTTGCTGACAAGAACATTCAGAATCTTCATTCTGTTCCAGTAACAGCAAACAGCTCATGTTAACAAAATTCTTGATGAAAGTGTTGCTGTCCCACTGCTTACTAATGAGCTCCCTCCCTCTGCCCGTTGTTCTTTTTATCATGCCACCAATGCATTGACGCAAAAAGCTGCAAAGCTTCAACCAAAAGTTCAGATTTTAACCTTGTATATTTGCATAAAATTGCTCTTTGGAAATTGAAAATGAAAACTACCAGTGAAACCTTTACATTTTGATAGAAAAACTAAAACAGCTTCCTACAAATAATCTGGGTGTTATAGAAAACAGCATTTATTAAAGGGGTCATAGAATGATGCTATAGGGTATTTGGTGCTGGTCTCTGAATAGGGTGTGTAACATTGGTTGGACTGAAAATGGCATATTTGCTGTTCTATGTGCCCTAATTCAAGCCTGGTTAAAAGCCCTAGAATGAAACGACAGGTTTTCTACCTTTTATGGTATGCTCATGAATATTTAGATGAACTTGCGCTGATTGGTTGGTTTACAATGAGTGAAGCACTCACTTACTGAAACATCGAAAGTGTTGATATGGTAGGATGATCAGACGTCCTCTTTTTTCCCAGACGTGTCCTACTTTTCATACCTAAAAAAATGTCCGGGGGGAAATTCAAAATTGTCCGGGATTTTGATCGGCTACAGTGCAGCACGTAGTCGAAACACACCGAGCACCTGAACCAAGTCGTCAGCTCCGGGGTTGGTTTGGGAACCACAGCTGAGGGCGGAGAGCCAGCGGGGGATGGAGTGATCGAACTCGACCCGGTGACAATAACCTGGACACCGGCAGCCCCGTGCGTCTTCTCGCCTTGACCGGACCCCAGCCCCCCTCATGGCTCTCTACTGAGGTCCAGACCAGTCAACGGCCCAGCAGTCGACATTTCCTACGACTTAATGGTAAGCTGGTGTTTTTCTGAAAACAACCACAGACCTCAAATGTCTCCAGTTTAGAAGAACCTTGGCAGGAAATGGCTCCTGAAGCTCTGACTCCAGCCGATACATTGTGAGTCTCCCATAAACCCTTGAATGGGTTTTCTTCATAATCATCTAAAGTCTAAGATGTTTGCCTTTGGCACAACTTTCCAAAGATCTTTCAAAGGGAGGTTTTCTGCATTTATGTATCACTTATGTATCACGAACAAAAAGGACAACTAAAATGTCTACATTCTTCTCCTTGAATATGTGGCCCCTCACATAACAGTAATTTTTTGAAATTATTGTTTTTCTTAAATTATTATTATTAGTTTAGATACTTGATTTGTTTTCATTAGTCTTAAACCATAATATTTAAAATTAGAAATCAATCAATAGAAAGTTGGCATTGGATTTGTGTATTAATAGAACAGAATCACAAACATAAATCAATGTTTCTTTCACATTATATTATATTAAAATTTAGATCTGCACTTGTTGTGTTTGTATATTATACATTGAAGATGGAAATTTGAGACATAAATCGTCCTTTTTATATTTACATTCCAATCAGCCAAATCTTCATTGAAACCTTTTTTTTCCTCAACAACTTTAAGATTTCAGCGGGTCTGTCAAACAAACAGAGTTGAAGGAACAAAGTTCAAGGAAGAACCTTGGAAAAATAATGCAAATCAGTTGAAAATATCCCACTTTGTGCCGTTTGAAAACCGAAATGTTCAAACGTGTAGAATGAAATGCATTTGTATCTTTTCTATTGTTTTTTTCTACAAACATTTCTTGTTTGTACAGGATATTCAATAAGCATGAAATGAAAATGTTCAGTCTGATGGGACCTGATCCAATCAGTCACAATTCTGAGCATTATCCCCCAATATATCCAAACCAATGAGCTCTCTGTTTTGTGTATTTGTACCGCAGCCAGCTTTAAAACATATTTATCTTTGTCTCTGTTGGATTTTCTCTGGAGTGTCAGACATGTGGGCTGGAGTGGACAGATGGTTTTCAGCAACATCTCATGGAGAGAGAAACAGAGCGTAGCGGCAGCCCCCAGTCTGTCCCCATCGGCAGCTTCAACCTCCAGTTTTGTTGTTTTGATCTGTCCTTTTTATGTCCTTATTGCTCTTTAAATTCTTTACATTTCCTTTTTATTTTATTAACCTGCCTTTACATTTTTTTCCTTTTTTCGAATACAACTTAATATTCCATCTCTTTACTGTACGGTTTTTAATAACCAACTAAAGATACACACACAAAAAGTAACCCTAAACAATGTTTTTTTTCTGTGAAAAGATATTTTCCTACTTGAAACTGAAAATAAGTATACCTGTGTTGTAGTGCTTGGTGCAATAGCGCAGATCCTTCTCTTCCTTAAGTATAAACTGAGGTAACGTCAGGCCGTCTGCCACTTGCACGGCTCCTTTCTCGTCCCACTCAAAGATCAGGTCATTCATAGTGTAGCCAACTGTAGAAGAAAGCAGAGGGTCAAAAAATCTGAACCAACATGTAGATCATTTAAGAAGGATGATGATTTTTCTGGTCCTTGCTGAGTCACAGCAAGACCTTTACCTCCTGTATCCATAATCAATATAAACCAAACCATGTTTTTGGTGTTTGCTACCAACAGAATAGTTGTTTTTACCTATTTTCCAGCAAAAATCTCAAGAAAGAAGGGGTTTAAGAGGAAGAGTTCCACAGCAAAAACTAGTTTTTTCAAACTTACAACCAATGCTGATGCTCGAATCAGAACATTTGCACTATGCAGCTTTTTTGTCTTTTTCGAGAAAGGTGTTTGAAATGTGTCCCATTGAGAGAAAGCCTCTAGACAAGGTTTTGGTTTAAGACTGACAGCTCTCAATTTCCATGTTGTGGCTGATCTGTGTAGATTCACATAGTTCTCAGAGATGCATTGACAGCCTCTCTGTGTACTTTCGCTGATTTCCCTCGGTCCATTAAGAGAATAGAAAGGCAGCAGAGAAATCTACGCCCAATCCCTCAACCTGTCATCACAGCGATTGATTGGCTGATGCCTGTGCTTCAGTGCGTGTTGATACTCACAGCTCTCCAGCTGCATTATGCAGGTCTGGACGTCCATGGGGAAGTTCTTCAGATCCATCGGACAGGCAAGGATCAGAGTTATTCTGCACAAAGAAACAAACAAGATTTAAGCGAAAACAAAAACATCTTAAAAGTTTTCTCTTTTCCTCAACCTGGCAGGTAAATACCACCATAATAAATTCAGATGTTTTTAAAGATAATTAAAAATGTTTTCTTTTATATACATTATAACATGTAAATAATGTAAAATAGATGTTGCTAAGATGTGAAAAACAACAAAAACCAGTTCTGCATATTTGAAAGAAACATACAGATCAGTAATTTAGTATTGGCTGGAATGTATATGAAAATTTCAGATTTTGTATTTGCATCTCATCTAGACATATCTTATGCTACATTGAGACCGCAAGCAGCAGAAGCAGCAAAAACGCGCGTGCTGCTTAATTTTTGATGCTTGTACAAGTTTAGTTCTGACGTGCATATGAAGCATCTTCGCTGCTCTAGCTGTGCAGTCAAAAGGTGGTCTAATGCGTGTTGGGAAGAGCTACCCTATCCTTTCCTTGCCTGTAACAATGGCAGTTATATTTGCTGTTATAAGTGGGTAAACAGCAGATTTAATATGTTTTTAAGTAAAAAAGTCCACCTGAAAACTTTATCTGTGAAGTTCATCCAAATTACGATCCTACCTTCAAATATTATTTTGCTGTTGGAGCTGCTCAAACCGGTTGTACGGTGGGTCTCTGTCACTAGGAATCCCGTTCAACAGCAGCCTCTGGCCCGGTTGCCTCTTTGCAGTTTTCTGCTACTGTTTGCAGTGGCTGGAAGGCATTTTTAATGAAATTAAATGAAACTACAGGCACCAGAATAATAAAATCGAACATATTTTGCTGGCAGGTTTCGACATTTGAAGTTAATTTAACTTTAATAAATAGTTTCAGAAGAGTGATCATAGTGATCTGCATCAGCAGTGCTGTGTCTGTCTCCCTGCCTGCTCCCAGATCAGCTTCTCTGATTGGTTGATGTGGCGCTTCGAGGAGCAAATGTTAAATTTTTCCAGCAATTTTTTCTAACTCCAGCAGCTGCTGCTTCTGAAGCGCTTTGTGTGCCTCAGAAGCTCAGGACACGCTGCTTCAGCTGCTCAGACGTACTGCTCCCGCTGCTCAAAGCGCGCTTTGGGACGTTTTGCTGTGCCTTGATGCGCGTCAACCATTGGCTTTGCATGTAAATTAGCTGCTTCTGCTGCCCCTGCTGCTTGCGTTCTGAACGTAGCATTATGCTACAACTTGAACTTTTCCTGCTCAACGCGCTACATCAACCAATCAGAGAAGCTGATCTGGGAGCTGGCAGGGAGACAGTCACAGCAGTGCTAAAGCAGATCACTGTGATCACTTCTCTGAAAAAGTTAATTAACGCCTAATTTAACTTAAATTGTTGAAACCTGCTGGCAAAATATATTTGATTTAATTATTCGGGTGCCAGCTGCTGCAAATAGTAGCGGAAAACTGGCAAGAGGCAACCGGGCCAGATGCTGCCTTTGAACGGGATTTCCAGTGACAGCGCACCGCCGGTGTATGGGGTCTGAGTGGCTCAGACAGCAAAATAATATTTGAAGGCAGGATCATAATCTTGATGAACTGACTGCATAGATTAAGTTTTCCAGTGGACTTTTGCACTTAAAAACATATTAAAACTACTTTTTACCCACCGATCACAGCAAATATAGCTACCATTGTTACAGGCAAAAAAAGGATAGGGTAGCTCCTCCCAACGTGCCTCAGAGCCACTTTTCAACTGCGCAACTAGAGCAGCAAAGATGCTTCAGCTGCAAATAAGAAATAAACTTGTACAAGCATCAAATGAAGCAGCATGCACGTTTTTGCTATAGGCTACCTGCTGATTGCGGTGTGAACATAGAATTAGTCTGTTTAAAGAAGGAAAATTTTTCCTCATTTAAAGACTCACTTTAATAAATACTTCTCATAACCTCCCTTTTACACAAAGTGTGAAAGCAAGCCCTAATTCCATATGCAATTCTTTTGACTCACAAACTAAATAAGTATTGAAAAAAATAATGGATAAAATTGTAACATTTGAATCAAGGGAGTTGAAAATACAGATAAATGTTTGCAAAACCCAGGAAAACTCTAAAAACTACTGGACAGGTAAGAGTTTGTAAGATGCATTAGTAGTTAAAGGAAAGTAACATGTGAAAGTAACATGTTACATCTATAGTTACAACTATAACCGCAAAATGCTACCTGGCGGTTCAAAATAGTATCTTGCAATCTCTGGGAAGCAGCTTGGGGATTTCAATCCTGGCAAATTACAGTGAGTATAATATAAAGTCTGGGGGAAAGGAAAGCTATCTGTGTCTGTGATCCCTAGAGATCTAAAAGTTCTTTGAATGTGATCTGTACATTTTTGGTCATAACCCTTAAATTCAGTAAATGGAGGCAGGTTCTGAGAAGCTACTGATCAGATGTATAGAACCTCACTATATGTCACTTTTATAAAACAAAGCCATATATTCAAGGGCAGCCTGAAGAATAATATGACATTTCTGAAAAAAATTCTAGAAAGTAGCTTTTCAGTTTGGCAAAGCCTCAAAATTTCACCTAAACGTTCATTTAATTAGGTTTGAAGATTAATAAACAAATTTTCTGTCAAATAACTTTTTAATGACATCTGAGGCACTACAAATAAACCACATAAATCATGTAAAATTAATTTGTAAGTTTTGTAAAATAATTCAAAAGTTTAGGTTCCACAAAGTAAACCTTTCAAACTCCATGAAGTGAAATTGTTCTTAGAAACAGGAATATGAACCCAAAGCTCCAGGAAAAGTGTTCCCAGGGCAAAATACCAGGAAAAATAGCAAACCAATCCCCCCAAAATAAGGGTATATAAACTATTTGTAAAAATGTATGTTTTATTTGATTAAACTAACAAAGTAGACAAGAAAACTGTGTCTATTAATTTGGGAAAGAGTCTAAAATAAAGCGCCTTTCATACTTAAACACAGCTGCAAATTATGTTAAGACAAATTTTGCCCACTTCCGTACTTTTTAAAACTGAAACTTTGTTCAACATAACAAAAAAGATAATTTAATCCAGTAAAGAAAAAAAAAAAAACTATCTGTGTCTGCAGAATTAGACTTTATGAGGCTGTCCCCACTAGGAGAAGCTGAGTTGACTCCTCAGCTTTAGTCCTTCTGTTCTTCTCTGACCGGACACCGACTGCGACAACTCTCCCATCCCGTCCGGCTGATGCACCAGATAAACTTTGCTGCGTCTGCACATCCTTACAAATCCTTGACAGGATGCTGAGTATGTTTTGCTCACATAATTTAACCAGCACAGATGTCCCACTTTCTAAGTAGTCGTTTACCTCTGTGGTTTTCCAATTTTCTGCACAAAGTATGTGCCCTTTTCTAACCACCACAGCTTGTAATCCATAACACCTCTGATCCTGTGTTATCCTCTGAGTTTACGGAAAATCCCCCCCAAACTTCTTTCTTATTGAAGTTTAAATTAATTTCTTCAAACCTGTATTTCTATAAAATGATTATGATAGTTATGGTTACATAAACAGCAAATCATTTATAGTTAAATTATGCTGGGGTTGTTTATGGAATAAAGGACGTGAGGGTGTGAAAGATTTTCCGAGCAAGCTGTGGGATACCTAAATGTGTAGAATTTTACGGAGGAAGATGGATTCAAAATCAGTCCTGTTTTATTCCTGCTGCTGTTGAAAGAGGACCGGCACCAAGTCAGCAGATGAAGCAAAAGAGATTGCTGGTGGAGCAGGTGAATGGATAAGAAGGCTTTCAACATGCAAAATATTTTTTTTTTCATTTCACTGGCAGGGGTCAGTTTGTCATGAGGATAAAAACAAAATTGTTTTGCACAACTGAAGCTGAAATAACTGCTTACGGAAAATTGTACATTTATCCTACTTTCTTTCACATCATGTTCTCCGTTGGTTTTCCACTTGTAAAGATAAAATCATCTGGAATTGGATAGGTAAGGCACGTCTCACACATTATGTACTGTATTCTGCATTATTGTCTGCTTTTAGAGAAAAAAATATGTAAACTTGAGTCCTTTTAGTATAAAATACCAAATTAATTTGATCTGAGAAGGTTATATACCTGCACAATATACATTTTCCATCCTGATACAGCACTCGACTTGCACAAATTGAACAACATATCAGCTCTACGCCTGCATCTACAACTGGTCATCCAATCTCAAAGAAACACTTTCCTCTCGAAGGAGAATGCAGCATCAATGTAGACTTTCTACAGCGATAAACATCAAAAACAGAGTAAACAACATTCACACCCCCCTCATTCATCCCCCCCCCACCCCCGATGGTTTAATATCCCTTTCTGCCACATCACCTCTGAGATGGAGCTGATCAACAGAGGAGCTCATTTTGACGATGTCAAGTTTAAAAATGAGAGGCACAAAAGGAAGAGCGCAAGGTGCCTCTGAGCTCTGACGATATTTATAAAGGACAATCTTCTTACTGTTCCTGCTGGACATGAAGGTGAAAGCCGAGGTTGATAGTAGATCAGAGACACCACTGGAATACTAACAGGACTGAGTAGATTACCACCGGTGCTGCGGTGCTTTTTTCATCCGCCCTGAGCAGATACAGTAAAAGCAACAAGAAGGAAACACAGACGGGCTGAAAGGTTTGTTGGCTGAAGGAGGCTGTAACTTGGAGACAGGATGCCACACATTGAAAACTTGAGAGAAGGAAGAATTAAATAAGAAAAAAAGCTCCAGTAAAACTGTCTCTCAAGAGAGATCAAATAATTTTTCAATCCCTCTTGATTAAAATATTACAAGAGAATTAGATTTCAAGCTCTCGCTCAAATCTCCTTGTTCATTAAGAGATCTATAAAACGAATATCCTGAAAATCAAAATAAGTCCTACCTGTCATTGTTCTGCACTTTTTGGTTCTGTTTAGGTTTTCTTTTCTAGTTTTTATCGGTTTTAATTTAATTTTTTTCTTATTCTAGTTGTTTTCTGGTTGTATTTGGGTTCCTATGTATTTATTGTTTACCCTCTGTTGCCACCTTGTGTCAGTCTCCTTCCCCTAGCTCCCTTCTAGATCCTTCTGTCCAAACCTGCTCCCAATCAGTTTATTACTCCATTCTTTGTTCTGTTTGGTCCTACCCAGTCCATGGGTAGGACCTGTCCTGCAATACTCTGCCATCAGAAAGGCCTCCTCAAACAAGTGCTTCATTGTCTACAATGTCATTCAAAAAAGGGCACACCATTGAAAGGAGGACACACGTTTTGAGCTACTTACTTAGCCTGAGTTTATCGACAACAGCTTTGCTTTTTTATCAGCCATATCTCTAATCCACTCAACTCATGCAATAGCCTATTAAAGCCCTTTCAATCCAACTTCAAAAGCTGATCTTCAAAAACACAGTTGAACAGTAAAAAAGCACGGATTGATAATTATAAAGTTAATAATAGTATAATCTACTATAGCCATATTAGAATTATTTCAGTGCCTGACTGTATAACAATACCTATGAGCTATATTTTAATGTATGCTGATAATATAACCAAAACACACAGATCAGAAAACAGATCACTGATCACAAAACTGTTTTCTGATCGGTGTGACCACTAACTCAACAGATAAGGCACCAGGACTAAGCAAGCCTGGCTGTTAGCCTGGTCTAAACCAAGGTAGTGGCACATAATAGATCAGCATTGTAACTTACACTCACCGGCCACTTTATTAGGTACACCTGTCCAACTGCTCGTTAACACTTAATTTCTAAGCAGCCAATCACATGGCGGCAACTCAGTGCATTTAGGCATGTAGACATGGTCAAGACAATCTCCTGCAGTTCAAACCGAGCATCAGTATGGGGAAGAAAGGTGATTTGAGTGACTTTGAACGTGGCATGATTGTTGGTGCCAGAAGAGCTGGTCTGAGTATTTCAGAAACTGCTGATCTACTGGGATTTTCACGCAAAACCATCTTTAGGGTTTACAGAGAATGGTCCAAAAAAGAAAAAACATCCAGTGAGCGGCAGTTCTGTGGGCGGAAATGCCTTGTTGATGCCAGAGGTCAGAGGAGAATGGCCAGACTGGTTCGAGCTGATAGAAGGGCAACAGTGACTCAAATAACCACCCGTTACAACCAAGTTGGGGAGAAGAGCATCTCTGAATGCACAGTATGTGGAACTTTGAGGTAGATGGGCTACAGCAGCAGAAGACCACACCGGGTGCCACTCCTTTCAGCTAAGAACAGGAAACTGAGGGTACAATTTGCACAAGCTCATCGAAATTGGACAATAGAAGATTGGAAAAACGTTGCCTGGTCTGATGAGTCTCGATTTCTGCTGCAACATTCGGATGGTAGGGTCAGAATTTGGCGTCTACAACATGAAAGCAAGGATCCATCCTGCCTTGTATCAACGGTTCAGGCTGGTGGTGGTGGTGTCATGGTGTGGGGAATATTTTCTTGGCACTCTTTGGGCCCCTTGGTACCAATTGAGCATCGTTGCAACGCCACAGCCTACCTGAGTATTGTTGCTGACCATGTCCATCCCTTTATGACCACAATGTACCCAACTTCTGATGGCTACTTTCAGCAGGATAATGCGCCATGTCATAAAGCTGGAATCATCTCAGACTGGTTTCTTCAACATGACAATGAGTTCACTGTACTTAAATGGCCTCCACAGTCACCAGATCTCAATCCAATAGAGCATCTTTGGGATGTGGTGGAACGGGAGATTCGCATCATGGATGTGCAGCCGACAAATCTGAGACAACTGTGTGATGCCATCATGTCAATATGGACCAAACTCCCTGAGGAATGCTTCCAGCACCTTGTTGAATCTATGCCACGAAGAATTGAGGCAGTTCTGAAGGCAAAAGGGGGTCCAACCCGTTACTAGCATGGGGTACCTAATAAAGTGGCCGGTAAGTGTATGTGTTCCTACTTTTGTGAAACTGACTCAAGGCTTAATTTAATCTGGATATCTAAAAAAACACTTCTTAATCACTATCTATGCATTGTAAAACAGGCATCAAGGCCTGCTTATGAACCCAGTCTGAAACAAAATATGTATCCTCTGTTTCTAGGACTTAGATCATGTGTCAAAGTGTATGTCAACATTATAAGTAAAGTTAATATAGGCTGAGTGCTGTTAAAGCAGCAATCATAAATTAACATTAGAGCCTCTAATCTGTAGCCAAGTTTACGTTCAACAGAAAATTTAATTTTAAGCAAAGCTAAGCAAGTTAAAAAGAAAAGAAATGTGACTTTGTGCTAAGCAGGATGTAGAAGCTGTAATCTAGCACTGACCATGGATCAGTGACAGAGGAAAGTTTAATAAATGTTTTACCATTGGGGAAGTTGTTCTTATGTGAACATGTCAGTTTAGTAATATCAGCCATGTTTACATACTTGAAGGTATAGTAGAGGATTTTTGCGAAATTTGAAAAGATCCCGCCCTAAAAAAAATATGCACATGCACAACCCTGTACCAGCTCCCAAGAGGGATCTCCTTTTAAACGTGAGCAAGAGCATGCACAAGCCCATTTGTCCTCGTGCACACTCTATTTAGAAGTTGCTGTTAGCATCGTTCATACCAGCTTACCTTTAATAGGAAAATCCAGGATGCAGACAGCAGAATCAGTCATGTGGGTAAGAAGTTCTCTGTCAGACCTAATTCGAAAAAAGTGTTTCTATCTCTTGTTTTGAGCATTAACCATTTTCGCATTTTTCACAAAAGCCAAAAACCAGCACAAGTGAGAATAAAAACTTTTCTGCCTATTTAAAGGAGTTTATTCAATTTGTTTCATTTCCATCAATCTTTCCAGTATTGTTTATTTACTGAATGATAAGCAACTGTGGTAAATGTAAATACAGTTCTTGGATTCAGGATTACTTATAGTAATCTCCTAATTAAAAAAATAGTTTATAGGAGTAGGTTGTAAACTACTGCTCAAGAACATTTTGATTTATGAACAATGAAGTGTTTTTTTCCTGGAGGTCAGTGATCTTTATTGGCCAAAATCAAGACCTGGAAAACATTGAAAATATATTGGAGATATATTTCAGCATCAGCAGCCTATTAGATATTGTTGCAGAGAAACAGAGTCCCTTAATGTGAATATATGACTTTCATGACCTCATATAATTTCATTTATGAGTTCTACAGATAATTATGTACTGAATAGGACAACACAAAACAGTCCCAAAATGGGATAAGTGTTCAACATTGTCAAGCCAGGGGAACAATATAAAACCAGAAACGCAGTGTATGGAAAGTTGAATGCTGTCTCATGGATGCTCTGTTAGCTCTGTGAACTTTTTTGGGACAGGGAAGGGTAATGTGTGTGGTGGTGGTGGATTTCTTAATTTACTAAATCATATTGTCAGCAAATATGTAACTTCTGTTCAAGTATAACATCAGCTTTATCCATTGCAATTTGAGTTTTTCAGTCTCAGCAAAATCCACTGAAATGTGACCCAGGGGCCTTCAGGCATGTTATTATCACCCATTACTCTGTTCCAAATGCTCAAATGAAATATCTTAAAGATTAAAAAATATTTTACTAACCTGTTGAGAGCAATTTCTGTGTGTTTGTTTTTAGAAATGATCCTTAAGAGAAAAATCTACAGTGAAGTGTTTGAACAACTGTGTCTAAAAACCTCTAAACCAGCCGTGCCCAACTCTTCACCTTCGGTTTTAAAATCTGCCAGCTCTGCCATGCTGAATCAAATAGTAAAATTGTCCCCTTATAATGTCATGACATTCTGCAAAATTGGGTGTGTTGAAGCAAGAACAGATCCAAAATTGGTGGGTTTTAACAGTAGAAAGACCAAGCGTGTCCTCCACTTGCCTTATGCTGTAGAGCACGTTGCCGTTTTTAGAGATGCGCAGGAGCTTGTTGTCAGTAGTGACCTCGTGAAAGTTGGCCCCTTTCTCATTGGCGAAGAACAAGTCAGGTTTCCAGATGGAGTCCAACATGGATGGGTCAAGATCCAGTGAGTCGTCAGGGTACTCGCTGTAAGCAAGCCTGGGGTCATTCCACTGCTGCCTCAAGAAAATATTCACTCTGTAGTCCTGAATATAAAAAAAGATAATAAGAGAGATAGAATGGTTAAAGCAAGGCATGAAAATAACATTTATAGGTAATAAATCTGTAAATTGTTATAAACTCATGTGATGATCCCAGACAGACTAGAACCCACATTCACACACTGACACCTAAATACATCAAAGTTTAACCCCTCAACTGAACTTGTGTGATTGTAAAATGTGAAGGACTGGATGATCTTGACCTTTTTGCTATTTTGTCATATCCAATCACAAAACGGCAAGAAAAATCTAAGAATCTGTCAATTTCTTGCTGTATTGTCCACCTTTACCCTTGGATCCACGAGTGACGGGAACCAACAGTCTTCTGTTTGTTTATGCTAGTTCTTTTATTTTGGTTACAGATAATCATTTGTAATACATTATGTTTTGTGTTATAGCAATTGGAATGTGCAATTTCACAGCAACAGAATATGTATCAATGTCTGGTCTGTATGTGTAAGAGTAGTGGTTTTCATAAGTGTGTATGTGGGATGCTATTTGTGTATTTGTAAATGTCTTTTCTGACTGGGATTCAATTCAATTTATTTATATAGCACCAGTTCACAACACATGTCATCTCAAGGCACTTTACAGAGCTATTACTTATTATTAGGATATTAGGATTATTAGGATGTTATTAGGATAACCAGTTGATTACATCAGGTTATTGATTTGCAAGACATGGTCCTCCTGAATGAGCTTGCTGCGACAGTGTTTGCCTGAATTTTGTCATTGACACTTCAGCAATCCCTCACACTGAGGATGCATGTAGCGACAGGGGAGAGAAAAAATCCCTTTTAACAGGAAGAAACCCCCAGAATAGAAGATAGAAGCAGAAATACAAAAAGTAGCAAATAAACAAAAGGTAACTGTTCACAAGCTCCACAGGTGGTCCTGTCCAGGAAAGGCACAGCCAGGTCAACAGACAGTTTCATAAGTAAAGGTTCATTTACAGCCACCTTTAAAGCCAGTGGTACATATCCCTGAAGCACAAATAGATTAATCATGTCTAAAATGGAGGAGGTCCCTTGAATAACTTATTTCATCTAAGTTTAAGGCTTAGATGAAGATAATTTTACTAACCCTGAAAGTTCAGCTGGATCCACACAGTCCAAACCCAGGTCAGATTCCATAGTTACCTCAAATGCTACTTCACCTTCCAGTCATTAGAAGGGCGCTAATGATCTTATTTTTAATAGAATCAATGTTATTTATAAGATCTCATAAAATCATTACAGCTTAGAGCAGGGGTTAAGAAATCTAGGATTATTCTTTTTTTCCTCTATTAATGTAGAGAAATATGCTGCTTTTGTTTTGTGAAAGGTCATTTTATGCAGCAGCAAACAGTTTTTCCAGATTAGGTAGAATTCCTGTAGGCATGTAGACTGCAATTTTATCTCCAGTTTTCCAGCATTTTGCTTCAAAGTGCACAGCTCTCTATTAAACGAAGGAGCAATATTTCTATTTTTAAATTTCTTCTTTTTTAAAGGGGCTATGTTGTCCAGAGCAGTATAGAGAGAGCTAGTGTCCTCATCAATAAAATCATACATTTGTGAAGGGGAATAAATGAAATGTTTACCTGCAGTATTATTTAGTGATACAGTAGAGATATAAAGTGGAACAGATTCTTTAAAATGTATTAGTGCATTATCTGATAATGATCTGCTAAGATCTAGAACTATGCATGCTGAGTACCATCACCCTTTTCGAGTTACTGCCTTTTTTTTTAACTGCTGCAGGACCACTACGTGAATGTGTCCCTGGGCTAAGCTCCAATCTTTTCACCGCTTCACCTGCACTAAATCCTGGATGTTCAATAGTCCGAAGTCAGGACTATAAAATGCTACACATTAAATGGATAACATTTATAGATGTAGGAGCTTGGCCTGTTTTTCACTGCAGAACTATTTCTCCTACTGTTACTAACTGTATGTGCTCTCTCTCATCCTATGATATGGTCCTGTCTCCGAGCTTGTCTGCCTGGCTGTGTCTGCCTCTCCACTGTCACTACATGTATCTTTGGTGTGAGGAATTGCTGAAGAGTCAATGAATCACTGCAATCAGCTGGTTTTCCTTAGATAGAAAACTTTGAACCAATCTGGCTGTATGATCTGGTTGAATTGTCTCTGTAAAGTGCCTTGAGATGATGTGTGTTATGAATTGAGGCTATATAAATAAACTGAAATGAATTGAAGTACCATTATCACTAAGGGAAGCAGAGAAATAACAAGAACTGAACATTTGACACAAAGAGTAGCAGATAGGAGTGGGAGACTTAGAGAGAGTAAAAAAACGGTCGGGGGGGGGGGGGGGGGGGGGGGGGTGGGTCAGAGAGAAAAGCCATGTCTGTGCTAGACAAGTGCTAGCCTAGTCCAGCTAAACCTTACTACCAGAAAAGCTGTGTGAGCATAACCCAGTAGGAAAGTGCAGCAGTAAAAGCTGCATTTAAAAGTATGTCTGGAAAGTAAGAGTAACTTAGAGATATCACAGGAAAGGGAATTTGGCGAGTCTGAGCAGCACCAGAGGAAGTAGGTCTACAACAATCAAAACAGGAAATGACGCAATACCTGGATTGCATACAAATATGTGACCTCACGATGTTTGTTAGTTGGGTAGATATCTTTTGTCTTTCCCGTTGGTGAGTTGCAGCTCTTTTCTTTCTCAAACCTTTCGTTGTGCTTCAATGATCAGAATCAGAGTGTGATGTAAGGGGCAACTTTCCGGTCACCTTCTTCTGTTTGGTTTAACAAGCTCCATTAAGAATTTATTTGAGGAAAAGCATTCAAGTATTGATGGTTCCACTCTTAAATTCTGGGTGCTGGGATGTGAGAAACGTGTACAGTATGCATTCATGGTGGCAATATCACTGATAGCTTTAAACACAAAATGATGGGTAACCTCTGTAATTGACACTTACAGGTGGAGGTCATGCCATCTGTTTCATGGTATTTATTGAAGTTGAGAGAAATTATCTTTAACGACCCCACCCCCCCATCCACCACCATCAGAAAAGATGCAACCATAATGAGGATTAGTAAACCTGGGACTATTTTCTTAGCTTGCAATATAATTTGCAAATAATGTTTAAGACACTGTCTGAAACATCTTTTTTAAACTATCATGTAGTAATTTCATTTGTTTTTAGTTTTATTAGTTATGCTTTACTTTTTGATATTTGTGAATTAAACATTTGGATCTAGAAAGCAAATATCTTTCTTTGATCCATTGACAGAAATGTCACATTTTTAATATTCTGCAAAGATACAAGAAAAAAAAGATGAAAGTAAAACTAAATAGGCAAGAATAAAACAACATGCGATTCTCAGCACAAATAGAAAAGTAGCATTCTCTGAAGAAATCCATTTGGCTGAAAAAATTAATTAAAGCAAAAGCAGCAAAAGTTATGGAGCGTACATCCTTGAAAATAGGGTTGTAATTGCATCCACAGGGAGATGTTCATTTTTAAACAAAATCATGGAGCGATGTGGGAAAGGAAGGGGAAAAATGGCTTCTTATAGGTCACTGCACTGCTGACTCAAGATGCCACTGCTCCACACGGGATACGGCATCGACAGATAACAACAGTTGGAGCGAAACAGTGATGGACTGGATTTCATGGCTGGATGAACAGGTACTCATGGGTGTTCATCCATATGTGTTTTATAGTTTTACTGATCATAGAGATGTACCACTTTGGCTGCAACAGGAACATTTTCTTGCGGGAATACCTCATTGCCTTTTTAAAATACTTTCCCTTCTGCTCTATTCATAATTTTAATTGAGGTATTAAAAACAGCGTAAAAAACACTCTAGAAATTGTTACCTTCTGCTTTAGCTAACCCAGTCATGAGAGGTGAAAATAATAAGATGAACATCAGAAATAGAGGTACATAGTAGCACACAGGCAGGTGGTTACTGAGCTGTTGCTTCTTGAGTATTTCACACACAGACAGTGAGACTCTGACATTACATTGAGGGTTAGATGAATAAGAGAAAGAGAGATGAATTTTTAAAATGGGAAGTGGGTATATTTCAAACAAAGTTTTAGAACAAATGATTCATGTGCTGAAGGGGTTTAGATATTTGGATTTAGTGAGAAGAGCACATCCAGTTGGTAATACCTTCTCACATATTACATTCTTGTTGCTTTTTTTATACTGTCCCAATACCCTTAGCTTTCCATCCAAGCAGCCAAATTTTTCCATGGTCTTTTAAAAAGCTCTTGCTTGGTAGACAGACTCAAACAGAACCTACAGCTATCATTAAAGAAAATGTGAGTCATTTTTCAAATGAATTGAAAGGTGCTGGACTGCAAATGACCAGAAAAATGCCAAATCCTTAGAAGAAATTATCAGGTCTTATCCATCTCAGAAGGTTTTGAAAAACTATTAAGGAAGACCAACTTCAAACAAACAAAAATCAGAAGGGTAATATACAGAAATCAACATTTAGTTTATGTACATATCTGTCTTATACTTACTATTCCAAGTGTGTTTATTATTATACATATATATATATATATATATATATATATATATATATATATATATATATATATATATATATATATATATATATATATATATATATATATATATATATATATATATATATATATATATATATATATATTCAAAATCTTTTTTTAAACCTATACATTTAATCAGTTTTCAACTGTCTACTCAAAACAGACAAAACAAGTTTGGAATATAAAATGAAAAAATGATAATACCATATTTTGTGGAACAATTATTTATCAAGTACAATTAGATGTTAGCTGTATCAGACATCCTGTTGGTATCTGTATAATGTGCTCATTCAAAACAAACTAACAAAACAATTGAACTAATCTGCAAAAATATTGCTTTAGTTTAGCTTGAAAATGTACAGTATGTGGTGAAATATTTCAAAAACTATAAAGAGCAGATTTACCTTCCTAGGATGCACAGTAGACTGTGCCCATTATAATGACAGATAATAGCTTT